TTGGCCAAGATGGAAATACATGATGAAAAAGTTGCCAAGAATCATGTTTGATTTGACCTACATCACCTTTTTTAAACCACAAGAAGAGTGTTTACACCAGAAACATGATTTGTTTATTCTTATTCCACAATAAACTTAGAAAGTATAGTGTTTCCAATGCTTTAACTTTTACATACTGCTAGGAAAATGTCTGACTGAGCTATGCCTTTCAATAAATTGGTAATAGCAGATGACTCCATAGGCTGAAATGATAAGAAAATCAAATAATTCTGTCTTCACTGCTAACTTTTCCATAGTGGTATGAATTGTTGATGACATTTTATTCAACAGTTACTTTATTTATGATTATGTAACTCAAGGATTCTTTATTTGTGAATAGGTAACTTTATTTATGATTTATTTTATTTATTCTTTACTTATGATTAGGTAACTCAATTAAAAAGACATTGCTGTTTTATAAAAGCTACAAATATTTAAGAATTGCTGAAAGAGTTAAAGACAACAGTGGTAAATGCTGTTATACATTCAAGGCAGCAATAATGATGTAAGAGTAAATATATATTTACATCTAGAAAAATATATTCCTAATATAAACAATTCTGACATATGTATTTTTCTTATAAAAACATAAATATGCCAAAGAACAACTACAGACTATTATAAGTCTCATGATGGACTGCACATTGAATTTGATAAATTAGTGAAAATGGTAAAAGGTATATGGTAGTGAAATCAATGACACAATAAAAGTCAACTGAGAGGATGCAGCATTTCAATATCTACTCTTTCAATATTACTAAAACATGCAATGTATGGTAGAACAAATGCACAATATGAGAAAAACTCATTACCAAAAATAGTCTGTGTGGTTAGATAAGGACAGGGTGGTTCTGACTCAGACCAGCACTATGTCCAACAGAACGAAACATTTCCCAGACCTGTGCCATCACCCAGTCACTACTGTGTTTGAATCCAGGAGACTTCATCTTGCTTTGTTGACCTTACAAACGTGAAATCCTGCCCCAGACTGGCCCTTCCAGATAACAAGTCCAAAGAATGTAAGAAAACATCTTGCCATGCTGTCTTCTAAGGAGTATTTTTACTGTTCTCCTTCCAAGAGAAATGTGTTCTTTCTTTTACCAATACATTATATATTCAGTATTCTTCACCAACACTATATTTCAAATGAATTGTTTTATCTTGATTCTTCTGTAGGCATTGTCCAGCATACATACAAACTCAAACAAACAAACAAACAAACAAACCAAAAAACCTGCACTACCATCAAGTTGATTCTGACTCACAGCCACACTATCAGACAGGACAGAACCACCCTTATGGGTTTCCAAGATTGTAATCCTATGAGACTAGAAAGCCGAATCCTTCTCCTGCAGAGTGCCCAGTGCTTTTGAATGTACGGCCTTGCAGGTAGACCAATGTGTAACCACAGAGCATTAAAGGAAACCATCTATTTAGTCAGGCATACCTGAGCCCTTAAAGTGACATCTTCGCTTTTTCAAACATTATAAAGTTCCGGTGCAGATTTTCCAGTGCGAGATACTGTTTGATTCTTGTCTGCTTTGACTGCTGTGTCTGTGGACATTGATTGTGGTACCAAGTAAATGAAATCTTTCACCACCACATCATTTTATATCATGATAATGCCTATTGGTTCAGTTATAAGGATTTTTGTTTTCTTTATGTTGGGGTATAACTCAGATCGAAAGATATAGTCTTTAATATCCATCAGGAAGTGCTTCCATTTTTTCTTGATTTCAGCAACTGCATTTATATTAACTGAAAATGACAGGCTGTGAATGAGTCTTCCTCCAATCCTGATTCCATGTTTTTCTTTGAAGAGTCCAGATTCTGGTGTACGGATTAAATACGTACATTAAAAGGATTCAACTCTGACGTACATCTAGCCTGGTTGTAACCCATGAAATGGGTCCTAGCTGCTTGAGTAACTGCCTGTGTGCTGACCTACATACAGATTTCCCCATGGCCATAATTAAATGGAATTCCCATTCTTCCCAATGTTAATAATAATTTGCTATCATCCACACTGCCAAATGCTTTTACAAAGTCAGTGAAACACAGGTAAATATATTTCTGGGATTCTTTGGTTTCATATTCTTTCTTTTTAAAATCATTTTATTGGGGACTCTTACAGCTTTTATAATACTCCAGACATCAATTGTATCAAGCACATTTGTACATATGTTGCCATCATCATTTCCAAAACATTTTCTTTCTACTTGAGCCCTTAGTATCAGCTCTTCTTTTTTGCCACTCCCTCCCCCCTCCCACCCTCGTGAATCCTTCAACAATTATATATTGTTATTATTATTTCATATCTTACACTGTCCATTATCTCCCTTCACCCATATTTCTATTAATCATCCCCTTCAAGGAAGGGCTATATATCCAACCTTATGAGGGGTTCCACCTTTCTCCCCTTCCCCCTCCCCAACCATCCCCCTACCATCATGATATCACTACTCCCACTACTGTTCCTGAGGGGTTTATCTGTCATAAATTCCATATGTAGAGAGCTCCTATTTGTACCCAGGTGTATTCTCCAGTCTAGCCAGATTTGTAAAGTAGAACTGGGTCATGGTAGTGGGTGCAGGGGGAGAGAGGAAGCATTCAGGAACTAGAGGAATGATGTGTATTTTGTCAGTGCTATAGTGCCCCTTAGTTGACTCGTCCCTTCCTTATAACCCTTCTGTGGGGGATATTCAATTATCTACAGATGGGCTTTGGGTCTCCACACCAATACCCCTCATTTGCATCAATCTAATTGTTTGTTTGGGATCTTTTGATACCTGATACCTTGTCCCATTAACACCCATGATCACACAGGCTGCTGTGCTTCTTCCATGTGGGCTTTGTTGCTTCCCTGCTAGATGGTCGCTTGTTTATCTTCAAGCCTTTAAGCCCCCATGCTATATCTTTTGATAGCTGGAAACCATTGCTCTCTCATCACATTTGCTTATGCCCCACTTTGTCTTCAGCGATCGTGTCAGGAAGGTGAGCATCAAAGAGTTCCAGGATATTAGAACAGAGTGTTCTTGTGTTGAGAGGCCTTGAATAGAGGCCCAAAGTCCATCTGCTATCTTAATACTTAACATATAAATATATGTGCTTTGGCCTCTATCCCTTTCATTATAAATTAATACATTTACATCTATACATGCCTATAGCTATACCTCTATAAATGGCTTCTGCCTCTTATTTCTTTTCTCTATTAGATTCTCTGCTTTTAGCCAAAGTCCACCTGGCATCAGCAATGGTGACCCTCCTTGTACATCCTCTTCTGAAAATGGCCTGAATTTTTTCATATTTCTGTCCATGTTCTTCTACAACCATTTCTTAATGATCCTTTACAAAAATTTACTTATGTGGGCTATTGACGGGACTGTTTAATAATTTCTACATTTTGGTGGATCACCTTCCTTTGGGAGGACCAAAACATGGATCTCTTCCAGTTGGTTTACGAGGTAGATTTCTTCCATATTTCTTGCCATAGCAAGTGAGCACTTCCAATGTTTATTGTTTATTGAAACATTTGAATTGGCATTTCATCAATTCCTGGAGTCTGATTTTCACTAGTGCCTTCAGTGGACCTAGAACATCTTTCCTTCAAAACCATCAGCTCTTGATTATATGCTTTTTCCTGAAATGGATGTGTTATTAAAGTGTTGTTTGTTTTTTTCCATGACTTTTTCTACTAATCAACTTTTGAACACCTCATAATGTGAATTTCACATTCTCAAGGAGTAAGTGTACTTTTCACTGAAAGCACAAGGTCCTTCACTGTTTAAAAGTTATGGTTCTATGGGAAAATTCGAGCATTAAACTTAAAAATAGAAGCAATAGGAAATCACTCAAATATAAACTTTTCAAAGGTACAAACATTCTCTTGAATATTCGATGTGCTAAAGACAAGAAAGAAGTGGAGAGGGAAAGAAGGCAGGAATGAGATGGCTGAGGATGCCTTTGATCCTTGGGATGATGTGTTCTTCCTCTTGTGCTAGCAGTCAGTTTGTGCCATAATTAGAGCATACAGGGAAATGGTTGTTCAATAATTTACATTTGCATTAAAGCACTTTTGCTAAAATATGTTCCTCACTCCATTACTATTATTCAAACACTGTAGTTTGCTGAAATGGAGATACAGAAGAAAGTATGTAATTTTTTTCTTAAATTTTGCGCATATGGATACACTCAAAACACTCAGTGGTTAAGGAAAAGGGTAATAAAAAAATTATGAGATTTTGTACAGACTACTGCAAACATTTTACAGTAATTCTATTCCCCATACAAAGGGTCAAATCAATTTGATGACACTGACAACAGAATTTTCAATTATCTTGACATAATAAGAAATTGTGAAAAGATGTTTTAAAGTATTTCTGCATATAGGCAGACAAGAATATATTTTTGCTTAATTTTACTCTTACAAATTTTAAATCATAGCAATTTTATTGTTGGAAAGAGGCATGGAATTTTATCTGGTGGGTAGCCCTTTTCTTATGTGAAAATTGAGATCTGAAAAATCAAATGCATTTTCCCAGACTGTGATATGTGCCTCAGTTACATAACTTGCATTTCAACGTTCCCAGAACCGTTCTCAATTATCTTTATCAGGTTTTAAATAAAAAACATAGCAGGACGCAGTCATGATTTGCAAGAGAGAAAGATTTATTTTCCTAATAATTCTCTTTTTTGATAGAAAACCTTTGTTTCTGTCAGTCACACAGTTTACAGGATGAAGACAACCTAACCTGCTAATCTGTCCGATGCTTTGCATATCTCAGGGAAGAGGGACAATGGAAAATAGAGTTACAATTGTATGTCACAAGATGCAAAAGAGACAAAATTGTTGCAGCACTGTTGTAGGAATGAAGTTAATGATCAATTGATGATATTTAAATGTTTTAAGTATTTATTACTTTAATCCTCTTTTTTTAAAACTCTTCTTCTCTTCCATGTAGGATTCTAGCTTCATTAGGATCCATAAAGCAATAAAAGTCTTAAACTTTACAATGAAGAGTAAAGATCTACAGCTTTCTGATGTCTTTTTGAAAGCACTTAACCACCTGCCACTGGAATACAATTTTGCTTTGTACAGCCGGATATTTAATGACTTTGGAACACACTATCTCACCTCTGGCTCACTGGGTGGTGTATATGACCTCCTCTATCAGTTTAGTAAGGAGGAACTAAAGAATTCAGGTATGCTTTTTGAAGCCTCAGTTTTATAACCTGTATGATAATATATAATATACTTTTCTGCCGGCCTTCAGCTATCATTTCAATTATTTTTATTACCTGGCTCTATTTTTACAAACCTACTTGCTATCGAGTTGACTCCAACTCATGGCAAACGCCTGTGTTGCAGTAGAACTGTACTCCACGGGGTTCTAACTAGCTTCTTTTTACAAAGTAGACACCATGCCTTTCTTCCATGGTACCTCTGGTGTACTTGAATCTCCAAAATTTAAGTTAACAGCTAAGAAATTAACCATTTGCCCCACTCAGGGACTCCATTGACCTTATTAAAAACTTGAACCAAACCCATGGTCATCAAGGTGATACCAACTTATAGTGATTCTATATATAGATTTCCCAACACTGTAAACATTCCCAGGAGCAGACAGCTTCATCTTTCTCTCTCAGTTGGAACTACCAACTGTTTTAGGCCAACTTTTATTGACAATTTATCTGACAATCATGTGGTTTATTATGCTTAGAATGGCAAATGCAAGCGGAATGGCATCATCAATATCATCAAAAACTAAAATATTTCAAGATCTTTCTTGAAGTACTATAGTGGCTGTGATAGGATATCTCTACACCTAAATGGAAGACTAGTTAATACAGCTAGAACATAATTTGTGTATGAATCACTGAAGCCAATGATAAAGAAATTGAAGAATTCTAACTTCTTCTGTTTGAAATTGCTCAAACAAGCAATCCAGATACATTGATAACTATTGGTAAATGGAATATGAAAGTTGAAAACAAAGAGAAAATATCAGTAGTTGGAAAAGACAAAAATGGATGTTGGAAGATACTCTGTAATTTAATTTTGAGCATAAAGTAGCTATAGCAAATAATAATGAACAGAAAAGTTATAAAGGCAGTTTGATATGACAAAGTAAAATACTATAATAAAATATGTAAAGACTTGGAAATAGAAAGTCCCAAAAGAAAACATGCTTACCATATCACAAACTGAAAGATTTGAAGAAAAAAATCAAGCCAGGAATTGAAATATTAAATGATTCCATGAGAAAAATATTGCATAATACAGGGAGTATCAGTAGAACATGGAACAAATACAGAGTCACTGTACCAAAAATAATTGGTCAATAATTGACTTCTTCAAGAGGTAGTGTATAATTATGAGGCAGTAGTATTGAAGGAAGAAACCAAGATGAATTGAAGACAACCAATCAAAAACAAGACTCCAGGAAGGGTAAAAAATTAATTGAAATGTTTCAAGAAGCTGATGCAGCACTGGAGGCCCTTATGAATCTATGACAAGGCAGTTAACTTATGACTATGAAAAGCAGTTAACAGGTTATTAATTGGAAGAGATCCGTATATCTACCCAATGAAAAGTGAGCCAACAGAATGGAAATATTATCAAACAATATCTTTAATATCACATGGAAGTAAAATTTTTCACAAGATAATTCAACAATGTTTACAGTACATCAACAGAGAGTTACCATATCAATGACAGACGGGTCTTAGCTGAAGGCTGACAGTACTAGAAAGATTGTTATTGACTACTCAAAGACTGTACTATGGATAACATGATGAAAAATAAGAGTTCCAGGAAAATTAATTGTACTCTTGGGGAACTTGCAGTTGTTGGAACAGAGCAAGGGGATTTTGGATAGTTTAAATTCAGAAAATATGTCCATTGGCAATGAGCTTTGCCAACAGCACAGAATCTAATGATAATGACTTATTTCCAAAATGATATCAAGTTAAGCTAACCACAAACACCCTTATGGAAATGAAATGAAACTAGAAATTTAGGACCAAAAAAGGAGGGAAAATAAATATGATTAGCCTCTGTGACTTGGCATCAGATTTGTTTCTGCGTAGTGTGGCATCTGGGATCATAAGTTACATATCACTAGTTTATCTAGAATGAGGTGTGCCTGCCAATACCAAATGGAGACCAATATTTCCCTGGAACTAAATTCTAAAAGGTAATTATATTGTTCTTGTAGGAAATAATATTTACATAGAATAATAATTTTTTAACAAATGAAATAGCAGCTTGATTTTCCTTTTCTTTCTTTTCTTTTTCTTTTTTTAGTAATTTGACTAAAAGTCCAGGATATTACATTAAAAATTAAATGAGGACTTGACAGACATGTACTTCATCAAAAACATACAAAAGTTGTCATCAAGTTGATTCTGATTCAAAATATAAAGAAAAAACTAATAATGAAAAGATATAAGAGATGATAGATATTATTCTTAAATTAACAGATAAATTAAAATACACATTTTAAAGGAAAGAAAAAAATAACAAAATCCAATAATGTTCCTGATGGAGGATAATGTAAAGAAAGAAATTACTTAAATGGGAATAAAAATATTGGCTTTCTCTTCAACTGTTCTCTCTACAGCAGCACATTGATAGGGAACTGCCAGGAGTTCAGGCAGGAGTCAGAAGAGGATGTGGAATGAGGGATATCTTTGCTGATGTCAGACAGACCTTGGCTAAAAGCAGAGAATTCCAGAAAGATGCTTCATAGTGTTTTGTTGATTATAACAAGACATTCAACTGTGTGGACTATCTTGTGGATAACTTTGAGAAGAATGGGAATTCCAGAACATTTCATTAGGCTCACTTGGAACTTGTACATGGATCAAAGAGGGAGTTGTGTGAACAGAACGAGGGAATACAGCTTGGCTTAAAATCAGGAAAAGTGTGTGTCAAGGTTTATCCTCCCCCCGTACTTTCATCCATATGCTGAGACAATCATCAGAGAAGCTTGATTATATGAAGAAGATGTGGATTGGAGGAAGGCTTATTATCAAGCTGTGGTATGCAGTTGACACAAGCTTGCTTGTTGAGCCTGAGGGGGAATGGCAGCACTTGCTGATGAAAATCAAGGATTGTAGCCTTCTGTAAGAAATACAACTCAATATAAGGAAGACCAAAATCCTCACAACTGGACCAACAGGTTAAAAACATCATGCTAAATGGAAAAAAGGTTGAGGTTGTCAAGGATTTTGTCTTACTTGGGTTAATGGTCATGAAAGCAGCAGTCAGGAAATCATTAGGTAAATCTGCTACAGAGACATCTTTAGAGTATTGAAGAGAAAGTATGTTTCTTTGAGGGCTCAGGTGTACCTGACTCGAGCCAGGGTATTCTCCTTTGCATCCTATGCATGTGAAAGTCAGACATCGAATAAGTAGGACAGTAGATGCATACATGCACATGAAGTGTGGTGCTGCTGAAGAATATTGGAAGTACCACGGACTGTTAAAATGATAAACAGAACTGTCTTGGAAGAAATATAGCTAAATTGCTCCTTAGAGGACTTCATCTTACAACCTTTGGACATGTTGTCTGGAGATCAGTCCCTGGAAAAGGACATTACGTTTAGTAAAATGGAGTGGTGGCAAAAAAGAGGAAGGCCCTCTGCAAGATGGACTGACACAGTGGTGGCAACAACGGGCTCGGCATAGAACCATTGTGTGAATGGCGCAGGATCTTGCAGTGTGGCACTCTCTGGTGCCCGGGTCACTGTGGATCAGAGCAGCCTTGGTGGCCCCTCGCAACAGCAGCAAGATGTACAGTAACTCATGAGGGCAGTGCTACGCTGACCTACAGGGCCACTGTGAGTCAGAGTAGACTCGGTAGCAGTGAATGAGGCTGTGAGGATCCCAGTGGAGGAGATCTTAAGTTTTAAAAGGCCAAGGGAAGAACTTTAGCCCATCATCAATTTAAAGATTCACATAATTTGGCTGATTTAATTTTTATGACTCCAGTGGTGATCTCCACTAAACCCGATGATTGAGGATTATTGGGACAGTAAAACCACTGATATTTGGAAAAATATACTGGACAGCTCCTTAATCTGATTGGCAAAGTGAATTCATTAGTCATTTCAAATGGTTTTGAGGCTATTTTAAGCTAGTCTAATATTTTTATGCAATTTCTTTGCTACACCAGTGGCAGTGGCTTGGTGACAAAGGAAATTTTCACACAATGTGAAAAGGGACAAATCATAACAAGAACATAGAGTCATTTTAAGGTGATAGTTGTATAAAACCAATTTACAACCCGAGCAGAGGTCCAAAGGTAACAAATATTTTCCAGGAGATGGTTTAAGGAACTTGCCTAGGTGATAGTCAGAGCAAAGTGAAGTTCTGCTATAAAACATTTTTGCCCACTAATGTTTCTTTACATTTCAATCATCTAATCTCCTCGAAGATTCAAGCTTTCATGTTAAACTCATTTCAAAGGATCATGCCATTGTGTGGGAGAAACTAATTTTCCATTAGGCCAAAACCTGAATCTAGTATTGGAGTCTGATAGTGTCCGTCTCACTTCTATTTTCTCTTTCCTTGTGTTGGTCAGTTTCCACTTAGAGCTGCTTTTCAAAAGTTCCTGAGTTAGATCATGAAGGTTATAATTGTTCACCAAAAAATCAGGGTAGTTTCCCCCATTAGTTCTCATCAGACCAAAGACAAGGCTAGAGGCCCTCTGCAGAGGATTTGAGTGTAATTTCCTAAATCTTTCCTTCCATTTCTTGGCTATGATTACATTGGGTACACAGAGAAAGCACTCATTACATAGATTCGAAGTCCTCACTCCTCTAGAGGTTCTCGAAGATCTTCAGCATTTTTTATTTATCTTGTAAATAAAGATCTTGAATTTAAAGACTCATGTAATTTTTGAATTATGAGAAATTTCAATGATTTAAGTAAGGCCTTTTTTTTTTTTCATTTTGGCCAACCCATAACCTATGAATTGGGTATTCATAACATTTTATCATTTTCCAAGTTGTTAATTCTGTTTTGCTGGAATTCTTTAAGAGGGTCTTATTATTAACTCAAAAGTTGGTGCACCTTTCTGTGGAAGTTTATAATGTAGTCTACATTTCTGAGGGAACTTTGAACTGATATCTTTATAAACTTTTAAATGATCTTTTTCCTGCAGAGGGGAATATTTAATAGTAAGTCTCAAAGAGAAAATGTAAGTAGTGAGGTAGGACAATTTTATTTTTTGGCCAAACGCATAATTTTTTGGCAGGTTCATTAAGACATCCAGCGTTTTGCAGTGCTGTAGGTTCATCTTATATTTGGTGTGGTATGTGAAAGAAAAGTAACTCAAAGATTTCATAGGATTGCCTCTGGAAAGGTTAAAGGTTTATGGTTCCAGTAGAGCAAGAGTTAGCATAACACAGGCTATGGTCACAGTTATGGTCAAAAGACAACTGCTTGACCAAAACTTTAGCAAGATTGCATCCTGAATTTTATCTGTCTAAGGGGCTCATTTTGGCTAATGGATTTAACTTGAACTTTCTCAAAACACTGCCAATGAGTCCATTTTTACTCAAAAATGACTCTATAAGAGAAATAGAACTGCCTCTGTGGGTTTCAGAGACTGAATATTCATGGGACTCGAAAGCTTCATCTTTTTCCCACGGAGTGGCTGGTGTTTGCAAACTGCTGACCTTTCAGTTAGCAGGCAATGCATTACCCACCACCCCACCAACGGCCCTTGACTTGAACTTTAATAACTGCTCAGAGGGATTAATGCCTTTGAAAGTAGAGTTTGGGATCTTCATTTGCTGATGGAGCATGATTTAAATGAGAAGAAACAACTACAGGCATCAATTAATAATTGCAACTTGGATGTATGAAATATGAATCTAGGAAAATTGGAAGTCATCAAAAATGAAATTGAACACATAAAAATAGACATTCCAGGTATTAGTGAGCTGCAATGGACTGAGATGGGCTATTTTGAATCAAAAAAATCATGTGGTTTACTATTCCCTGAAGGAAACAATCAAGATGAACGGTATTGCATTCATTATCAAAAAGGACGTTTTAAGATGTACTGTAATAGGATTATATATATCCATTTTTAAGGAAATCTAATCAATACCATTATTATTCAAATTCATGCACCAACCACTAATGCGAGTGATGCAGAAATTGAAGATGTTACCAATTTCATCGATCTAAAAAATTTTAAATATGCCATTGTGTTAGATTGGGTTGACTTAAGAAGTAAATTCAGTGACACTCATATATGTGCAAGAAAGAGTTTTATATCAAAAAGTAATTATGAATCAATAAAACATACAAGCCAAGTCCAACTGAAGTCCATAAGCCTGATACTAGTCTGTAAGTCCCTCTTAAGATTGACACAGTCACATGCAATGATGCAGAATTCAGGAATATTACAGGCCAGAGGGTGCAAAGCCTTGTGAATCCAATGGCAGGTCTCAGAATGGCTCGCTGGCATGAAAGTGAAGACACAGGGGGAGGAAGCATAGGAAGGTGAAGGCGGAGGGAGAGAGTGGCCCACCCCCAGGGAGCCATTTATCTTGATCAGACCTCCAAAGGAGGTCATCAAGCTGATTAAAATCCACCCATATCTTCCTATAGGTGCCATGTTGGCACAAAACTTAACTCTCACAGTCATTAAGATGCATTGATAATTATTAGTGATTGGAATGCAACTGGAAAAAGAGGAAGTAACAATTGTTTTGGTTGTCAGGTGCCATCCAATTATGCACAAAAGAACACTGCCCTAACCTGGGCCATCTTCACAATTGCTCCTATGCTTGAGCCCATTGTTGCCGCCACCGTGTAAAGCCGTATCCGGGAGGACCTGCCTCCTTTTTGCTGCCCCTCTACTTTTCCAAGCATGATGTCCTCCTCGGGGGAGTGGTTGCTCCTGACAATGTGTCCAAAGTTTGTAAGAGGAAGTTTCGTCGTCCGTCCTTTTCTCTAAGAAGGACTCTGGCTGCACTTATTCCAAGACAGATTGACTCGGTACTTAGTCTTCCCCAGCACCACATTCAATGCACCCGTTGGCCTTCCGTCTTCCTTAGTCAACGTCCAACTTTCAGATGCATCTGAGGCAACTGAAACTATCATGACTTGGATCAGGAGCACTTTAGCCCCCAAAGTAATATCCTTTCTTGTCAGTACTCTGCAGAGGTGTTGTGCAGCAAAATCACCCTTTCGTTCTCTTACTGCTGCTTCCACGAGAATTGATTATGGATCCAAACAAGAGAAAATCCTTCACAATTTCATACTTTTCTCCAGTTTTCATGATGTTACTTACTGGTCCACTTGTGAGGATTTTGGTCTTCTTTATATTGCTTTGCAGTCCACACTGAAGGCTGCAATCCTTGATCTTCATCCATAAGGAGTTGGAAAATATGGCTTTGATGACAGCAATGAAGCCCACGATTGCATGATAGAATTTTACAAGACTAATGACTTCTTCATTACAAATACCATTTTTTTCTGCAAAGCAAAAGACACATGAATTTCTCCAGGTGGAATACACAGGAATCAAGTTGGTGACAGCTGTGGGGAGAGACCAGCATCTTTGCTCTTCAACATTTTAAAGAGGGTTTGTGCACATTGAACCAATGCAATATGTCATTTGGATTCTTGACATGCTTTTATGAGAATCAATTGCTGCTTTCATGAGAATCAATTTTATTTATCCAAATAAAATAAAAATCCTTGACCACTTCAATATTTTCTCCATTCATCACACTATATATTAGACCTATTGTATTTTATTTTCTTTAAATTGGATTGTAATTTATATTGAAGTATGTAATTTTTATGTTCAGTAGTGTTTCATGTCCTCCTTGCTTTGACGAGCAAGGTTGTGTCACATGCATATCACATCATGCCATGTTATGCAGACAGTACAGCAGTTGTGAGTATTCTCTTAAAATTTAAAGAAAAGAAACAAACCCACTGCCACTGAGTTGATTCTTACTTGTAAAGAATCAAATATTTCTTAGAGCTTCTGAAACTGTATGTCTTTATAGGAACAGCAGCCTCATTATTCTCCCATAGAGCAGTTGCTGGGTTTGAGTTACCAACCTTCAGTTAATGTTCATACCACAGCACTACCATGGCTCATGAAGATCTTACTAGGGAGCTAGAATTTGAAGGGGTACCAATCTGCATGACGATGCAATTTCTCCAAACATTTTCAGCAATTTCTGAACAGCCATAAAGAAGATTCAGGCAAGATCTTTATTTCTTATGGTAGAAGGGAAAAAAAGACAAAAGAGAGGGCTTGGAGTTATTTGCAAGGAATTGGTTGAAATTAATGGCCATGAGATATAAGTAGAATAAAGGGTAAAATGAAGGGTTAAGAGAAAATACAGGAATCTAGAGTTTCTAATGTGGTCAACAGAATACTGTTCAACAGCCAATACTCTTGTGCAGGCAGTGTTCTTCATAGTAGATGGACTAGGAGTTCAAAGATGATGGCACAATGGAGGTGATGGCTTTTAGTATCCATAGGGGGGAAAATTAGCTCCAACAATGACTAGCATCTTCAGTTCCTCTCCCCGGAATTCTCAATGGAATATTTTCAATATTTTCTGTTTCTGCTCTGTTTTCTAGGTTTAACAGAAGAAGAATCCAAAACTTGTGTCAGGATTGAAACAACAAAACGCTATCTTTTTTTTAAGAAAAAGAAAGTGGAACATCGGTGTACAATAAACAAGCTGTCAGAGAAGCACGAAGGTAACAGAACTTTCACTTAGCAGCTCGTCCCGCATGCCCTGCAGTTGAACATAACTTATGTATCATAGTGTACTTGGCTGTGCTATTGTTTTTACTTTCCATTTATTTCATTATAGAGCCCTCTGTGTGTGGCAGGAAAGGGAGCACAAATAAAATATCACTAACACTACTTAAATTTAAAATTAGTTAAGATTTTCTTTTAGATTTTTAGATTTATGATCAGAACTCTACAACTCAATCATGAAGTAAAGATGAGTGTGAACCAGGCCTTCCTGTTAAAGTACTTGCAAAATTATATATATACAACCATTAAAAATATAGAATAACAAGACTCCATGTGAAGTATTTAAAAAGAGACCAAAGCTATGGAAATATAAATATTACCCACAGACTGCCATGGAGTCAGTTCCACCTCATCACAACACTGCACAGATTTCTGAGACTATTAGCTCTCGGTGCAAGCAGAAAGCCTTATCTTTCTCCCCAGGATCAGTTGGTGGGTTTGAACCACTCACCTTTCAGTTAGCAGCCTAACCCACAGAGCCACAGGGGTCCTTATGAGTACTACAGTAGAAGATATTTCTTCAATATTGAGAAAACATCACAGGCCAGTTCAGAGCAAGTCCATGAGTTCAATATTAGTCCATATGTCCTATACCAATCTATACATTCTTCTTTAGACTCACACAGCCATGCAATAGTGCCAAATGCAGGAAGATCACAGGGCAGTGGTTGGAAAGTCTTGTGGATCCAGTGGCGGTAGAGGCATCTCAGCACTGGACGGGGTTGCCACATGGCTCTTTTAGCTCCAGGGCTCTAACACCATGTGTGTTATCAGCAAGCATGTCTCACAGGGAGTGAGTATGTGTCTAGTGAGCTATTTATCTCCCTAGCACCTCCAAATGAGGTCATAAAGCTGTGACCTGATTGAGAAGCTAAAATTGACAACAGATTATGTAACTACTACATCAGGTTTTAAGGAATGACTTTACTTCCTTCCAAAGATTTACCCACCTTCTATGGGTTTTTATATACTAATTTCTTCTGATCTCCAGACACCTACTATACAGTGGGCATATCACCCAAATTCCCACACGCAGCAATGCTTCACATATTATCTGCCTACCTCATATAGCTATCATTACTGTGCAGTATGTTAATAGGATTCTTGTGAAGAGAGTGAAATAATCAATATAAGGAGCCTGAAATAGTGGCCAGCTGCTAATGAGGGCATTTCTCTTTCCTTTTCCTCTCCTACAGTAATCCCATCCTGACCCATGACATTGCCGTCAACACGATCAACTAAGTCAGAGACCTGGGTGTTGTCTTTGATTATTCCCTCTTTCTCACCTCCTCTTCCAATAATTAATCCTGTATAATCCATGAAGTGTCATCCTGAATATCTTTCTAAGCAATCATCATCTACTTTCTCTAGGCACCCCTACCATTCAAGTCCTCATTATTCCATTTTTATTATCCACACAAGCTTCCTAATTGATCGTAATGCCTCTACTCTGGCCTTTCTGCAATCTATTTTACAACTTCCTGTGAGAGGAATGTTCTCCAAGACACACCTATTCATAAAATGCTCCAGCTACAACATGGCTTCATATGGCCTTCAGGATACTGTCTTGCCTCTCACTGCTTTGCTAAAGCTAATGCCATCACCTAAAAAAGCCATATGCTCTCATATGTCTCAGCATGATAAATAAATGTTTCATGACTTTTTTGTTAAGGAGAGGCCATGTGATTGAAAGACCAAAGACCAGCAAGAGGCCTGCCTCTGTGCATAGCTAAGAACAGGCTTTCCTGAGCAGAGTAACTGTATCCTGAGCATTTATGATCCTAACATGTAACCTGTTAACTTCCCTAATAAACTCCATAATCAAGAGGAGTGTGTTCTGTAAATTATTTGTAGCCATTGTAACGCATTACCAAACCCAGCTGAGAAGCAGAGGGTGCTACAGGAGAAGGTGGAGGTATGCCTTACTTCAGCCTTATGTGAATGGACCTCTGGTAGCTGATGCCAATGGCACTTATTCTCCTTTTTCCCTCATGTGAAGTTAGAGGGCGGACACTGCTTCCATTTCCTTTTTTAAAGTACACTATAACATATAAGTGAAACACGCACCCTGCAGAAGACAGACTATGTGATGGTGGAGCTGTAAGATGGCACAGCCACTGTGGAAAATGATGGGAGTGTTCTTTTAAAGGGTGGAGATGGAAAGACCATTTGACACAGTCATTCCTTTATTGGAATACGCTCTAGAGAAGTAAGAGCCAATAGGGACATGCATACCCAGGTTCATGAAAGCATAAAGATAGAAACGATTGCTGACCTAGCAGCGAGCAACCTAGCTAGTCCACCAGTAGTCCTTATCTTAAGAATAGATCTCCCTTTTTTCTTTCCATTCATTTTGATCATAGGAGACTTTCCCCCCTTGTGGTTAACTTTATTCATTTTCTCAGGAAAAGTTACAAGTTGCTTTACCAATGCTGATAAATTCCCAAAGGGTGCTCTAGTCTGCCATAAGCCTTAACCTCTATGTCCTTGTTTCTAGCTTCCTGGGTCAACAAACCTATTCCTCTAATGAAATGTCTGGAGGTACCCTATTTTGCAAGTGAGATTTCTGCCCAAAGTCACTTGGCTTTACTTAGTTCATAGGCTAGGAAATCCACCACAATTTCTAGTGCTCTGGTTCTGGTGTTGCCACTCTGAGTGTGGTACTTCTCTGTTGTCACAACTTTCTGTCCCAGAATCAAAAAGGGTCAATGTGAAGTGGCAATCTGTGTCTAAAAGACAGGTTCAAATCCTGGCTCTTCTCTATTGATGATAATGGGATCCCCTTTTTCTGCTTCTGAGATGACTCCTTTTATACCCATTTGCAGGATGGCAAAACTGACCTTCATTAGATTTACAGGTTTTTATGATCAGAATCCTGTTACTTATCACTCAAAACAAAATTATATAATTCTATTCATATCTTTCCTCACCTGCTCTTACTCAAACCCATCAGACAAGAGACTTTGGGTGGTAGTTACAAATACAATGGCTAGAAGAGTATAGGTTTTTTTATTATTGGGAAGGGAGAAGCATCCCACCTTTTTTTTCAACTTTAGTAATGATTTGCACATAGAGTTATGGTTTCTTCCCATATAGAGTAAGTGATTAATTTTTCCATCTCATTCCAGATAATTAGAATCTGGATCAGAATTGCATTGTGTCTGTTGTTCGGTGAGTTGGGTGGTAGTCACATTTCTACAATATTAAATCTTCCTATCCATAAGCATTGTATATTTTTTCATTTATTTCTTTTGGTTTCTTGTAGTAGTCATTGTAGCTTTTTTGTGCAGGTCTTTTGTTTCTCTGGTTATATTTATTCCTAAATATTCCATCTTTTGATTGGCTTTGTAAATGATATTGTTTTCCTGGTTTCATTTTCAGAGTCCTATTTGTTAATAGAAAGGTCATCTCTGGCTGTTTTGCATATTGATCTTGTATCCTGCCACTTTGCTGAAACTTTAAATTAGTTCTAGCAATTTATTTATTAAGTCTTTGGGACTTCTGATATTAAAAATCATTTTATACTTAAATTCAGAGAGTTTTACTTCTTCTTTTTTACTTTGAATGCCTGATAGTTCTGGGTAAGACTTCCAACCCAACACCAAACAGGAATGGTAATCAAAAGCATCTTTATCTAATTCCCATTTGCCTAGGAAATGTTTTCAATGTCTGTCCCTTGAGAGTTATGTTGGCTGCTGATGCTGCTGCTGTTTTTTGTTATGTTGAGGAAATTCACTTCTATTCATATTTTTAAGTGTGTGTGTGTGTGTGTTTTATCAGCAATGCGTATTGAATTTTTTTTCAAATGCCTTTTGGGGGTCAATTGATACTATCAGGTGGTCCTTTTGTTTTATGTGGTACACTATGTTAACTGTTTTGTCTAATGTTAAACCATCCTTCCACGCCTGACATAAATGCTGGTTGGTTGATATCTGTTCTTTTGAGATATTTTGTTGGATTCTATTGGCTAGAATTTTGTTGAGGATTTTCATGTCTACATTCACAAGGTATCTTGTATTACTTTGCAAAATGGATTTCTATGCCATGGAATATTTTGAGTAAAATTTATGGCAGCTATCCTCTGAATGTTTAGTAGAATCTTCCAGTGAAGCTGTTTGGTTTCAGACTTCTTTGGGCTAGGAGTTTTTAATGACTTAATCAGTTTCTTCTTTTGCTATGGGTCTATTAAGGTTATCTATTTCAGCTTGTGTTCCTTTAGGGGGCTACAGCTTTTTTAGAAATCTGTACATTTATTGGAGTGCGGTTTTTTACACTGTTCTGTTATTATTTCCATGAGTTCTGTTGTAATGTCACTTGTTTCAATTCTTATTCTTGTTATTTGAATCTTCTATTTCTTTGTTATAATTGCTGGTGGTTTGCCAGTTTTAATAATTTTTTCAAAGAACCCGCTTATAGTTGTATTAATTCTTTTTATTGTTTTTATATTTCTGGTTCATTTACCACTCCTCTCACCTATATTATGCATTTTTTTCTTTCCTTGTAACTGTAGCCTTATTTTATTGCTCTTTTCTTAATTATTCAACTTTTGGGTTAAGGTATGGATTTGGGTTCTTTCATGATAATACTATAAATTGCCTGAGGATATAATTTTAAAGGGTTTTTTTGATAATTAATACAACTTTCAACTTGTCGTTCCCAACATGGTAGGCTACACGATTTTCTCATTCGCAGTGACTAATACCTGTGCTTTTCAGCTCAATAATTCTGGAGATATTGTTCTCTAAGTGTTCCATTTCCTTTTTGACAACCTCTAATTTTCCTACATTCATACTTTGTGTTCTCTGTGTTGCAATTTTTAGTGGATGTTTACAGCTGTGTATTCCAATTTTGAATAATAAGACATAAGTAAATGAAAATCCTGAAAGAGTCACCCCACCTGTATCATTCAGGTCATCTCGCTTTGAGAAGGCACCTCCTTCCCAGGGGTATTTGATTGTTTCCCATGCTGACAGACTCATCTCCCAGCGCTACATCAGAAAAGGTTTTGCTGCTTCTCCTAAGGTTTTCACTGACCAAATCTTTCAGAAGTACATTGTGAGTTCCTTCTCCCCAGTCTGAGTTATATGGAAACCCGACCTGTCCACCATGGATGACTCTGTTCACTTTTAAAATTCAATAGTATCATTTTAAGCAACACCCAAGCCACCACAGTGGAACATGTTCCTCCGCATTTCCTAATGCATCTCACTTTGGAATCATTGTACTGCTTTTCCCATAGAAAAAAAATATTATTTTCACCATTCTAGACTATCTTATTTTAGAACTCCAGGGCAATGGGTGCATCACTAGCCCTTCCCGGAGCTCTTGAATAGGTATGAAATTAATAGCCATAACCTGTATTCATTTCATCTTTTTAAAAATCACTACATTTTACTATTATTCCGTTTCTATCCATATTCACGTTCACACATGAACTCCCAGAAGAATGACCAAATCAGTCTTGGAAGGAGTAGAGACAAAATGCTCCTTAGAAGTACAGAGGGAAAAAACGTCGCCTCACATTATCAGGTAGACCAGCTCTGCAGAAGGTCAGCATGCGTGGTGAAGCAGGGGGTCGGTATAAAAATGAAGCCCCTCAATGAGGTGATTAACACAATAGCTGCACCAACGGGCTCAAGAGAAACACCAGTCATGAGGATGGTTCAAAATCCAGAAGTGTCGCGCTCTGCTGTGCACGGGATCCCACTGAGTTGGAACCAATTGGAGGACAGCTAACAACAGTAACAAACCGTATTGGTTAAAGTTACCTTTAGTCTTCAGCGTTGCTTTGTATAAGGGATATGTTTGACCTTAAATGACATTTCCTCTACAGAAACGCTGTGCCAACTCAAGATGTTGTTGTTCCTTTGTTTCCTTTTTGTTAGTTTCCCCCCTTTTCAAAGTTCAAAGGCACTTAATCCATTTCTTTCTGTAATTGAGAGTCTCCAGCATTGCAGCCATTTATCTGGATATTTTGAATCTTGGAGGTTTATGCTACTTCTGTGACATAGCTAATATGAACCAAAAGTCTATTTGTCATCAAAGAGTATTGGTCAGAGTAATCAAGGCTTGGCTTGTCCTTGCATGCCAGCCTTATCTGAATGACTAAGGCCAAATTACTTTTAGCAACAATGTCCACTTTCATAACTACCATTCAGGGTAATTGGGAGAATGTCCTAAGAGATCATGTGTATAGTACCTAGTATATACAAGATGCTAAATAGATGGTAGCTTTAGGGGTCTTAAGGAGCCCTGGCAGCATTGTGGTTACACATGGGCTGCGCCCTGTAAGTTTGCTAACTACAAACCACGAGCAGCTCTGCAGAAGACAGGACTTTCTACTCATGTGAACAGTTACAGTCTTTGAAAATCACCGGGGCAGCTCTTTCCTGTCCTAGAGGGTCCCTATAAATCAGTACTGACTCGGTGGCAGTGTGTCTGATTTGTTTTCGTTGTTTCTTTAGCATTCCATTTGTATTGTTTCTATTATTTAAATTCCCTAAAGGGAAAAGAGTGTATTCTCTTGCTTCTCACTTACCTTACTTAATACAGTGACACTGTTGTACTGTCTGATGCAAACGGGCCTTTATCAAAAGTATGAATTTACAATAAAACTCAATGGATAATTTTCTTGAAATCCCTTGCAGGTTCCTTTTTGAAGGGAGCAGAGAAATCCATTTCCCTGGTCCAAGGAGGGAGGAGTGAGCAAGCAGCAGCTTTGGCATGGGAAAAAGGGAGCTCTGAGCCAGAGGAGAAGATCTTTGCTGAGTGGTTAGAATCGGTGAAAGAAAATCCTTCTGTGATTAACTTTCAGGTAAAATGAAAAAATATTATGGGTCAAATCTGAAGTGGTTCAGTGGTAGCCAAACTGCATCTCATACTGTCCCATTTTCATTTCTCCTCTTATCTAATAAGGTGCCTTTATTATGCATGTACAATGCACCTCTCTTTCAGTGTTTAATTGCTCATCTATTGATTTTGCTATTGGAATAAACACATTCAGTAGTGCAGTATTTAGAATCCCTAGCATGAATGAAATACCAAAAAAGAGAGCTTAGTGAATAAATATATTCAGATTTGCATGGGATGTTACTCTTCATCTCCCC